CTTCTCTGAGAAACTCTACTGCTTCCAAGCACCAGAGCAGAGATTTGAAGGTTGGAAGAAAAGTGATCTTGTTTTAGAATCATTCTTTCTCCTAGAACTGGTCAACTTTACATGATCTAGCAGCTAGACTGTCTTTCTCTCTGTATAATGATGGCTCACAGCTTTTTAAGCTTAGGCTGAGGTTAGGGTCTAAAACAGAAAGCCCAGAGCCTGTCTATTCGTTCTCTGTGAAATCCTACTGCAAGAAGGCACCCTCACAGCCTGAGAAGAAAGCTGTCTGATCCAAGTGCCAGGGGACAGAAAGTAGAATTGAATGGAAGGAGAGGAGTCAATATAATCAAATTGGAATATTCTGGTTATGCAGCATTGTGAGAAAAGATCTCTGTGCACTGCACTAGCACCTATATTACATGGGACAGAAACTACAGCAATCATGAACAGTGGATGTTGTAATTGTTGGTGTATTACTTAAGGTCCTTATTTGTAGAAGTGCTGACCGCAGTGACCAAAATCAATGTGAAGAGTGTTCTAAGGATCAGAAATAGTTTATGACACTGAATACTTCAAAAGATCATCCTCTCAGGTTTCCAAAAAGATACCCAACATTTATGGATACTTTTAATCACAGTGGTATGCATTCAGTGCAAGCATTCAACTCTCACTAATTTAGCTATAGCAAAATTAATTGCACGATCTACTTTTTCTGGAGGTCCACCTTTATTTCCCTGATGAGCTGCACCAATGTTGAGAGCTTAAAGATGAAGACAGTGGAAGCTGTGCTTTGAATACATAAGGTGTTCTGAGCCATAAGAGCTAAGAAATGTAGGGCAAAATGGAGTACTAAACATCTCATATTGAGATCTCACCACTGAGATTTTAAATTTCTGTGGCCCTTGAGCTCCATTCACAAAAAAACTCTAGCACGGCCCTTTGCCTTTTCCTGAGGGTCTTCTGTTAGCTTACAGTTGGTGATGTACTCTGATATCTGATATAATACTGGTTAACATTTAGGAAAAATATCACAAGAAAAGTCTGCATTTCAGATCAGATCATAAGTAGCAATTAAGATTGGGGATACAGAATGAATGAAAACTATAGAAGAGTACTGAACAGAGGAACCATTCAGTTGGTGTGGTTCACTTTGTGAATGTAATGAAACATTGGCCTACAGAGAAAATCCTAGGCAATGGTATATTTAAACCGCCTGGTCAAGGTATAAACAAAAAGGAGAAGAATTAAAGTTACACAGGCAAAATTAATTCAGCATTTCTCAACAATCTCACAGTTATGGATCTTAATTTTTTTTTCTTTAAGGAAGAATGTTTGTTATATACATGTTGTACTCAAAATACTCTTGGAGCTAAGACGAAGGACTTCCATGCCCTTCAGTGAGCTCCAGGTCTGATCCTTACTATGTTGCATATTTTAACCTTTTCAAAAAGACTAAATGGGAAAGGAAAAACAATTGTGAAAAAAAAACAAGAACAACAACAACAAAGCACAAAACACATACACTAAAACATATTGAATTCATTTAACAGATGTAAACCCCAAATCCAGAGTGATGTAAAGTAGAAGCATGAGAAACACTGAAGGAGACAAAAGACATTACCAATCTCTTAGGACAAGTAAAGCACAAAACAATGATGTCAGCTCTAAAAGACTTCCTGCGCTCTACTTTTAACATCCTCAAGCTGCCTTGGTGATAACTGTCTGTAGAAGTGAGGCAATTTGGAAAAAATAAAGTGATTAATAGCAATTAGCTTAAGGGCAGTTCATAGCTATTATGCCCATAGTGATACAATAACATAAGACACCAGGCATCTAAGAGACATAGTCATATACTTAGCGCTCTTCTAAAACCACAGCAAATGAATGCAGAAATCAGCTAAAAAGGACATTACTCAACATCTGCTAAATACATTAGCAAGCAGAGCTGCAGGACCAGAGATCTGTTAGATCTGTAAATATAATCCTGCTTGGTGGCACAAGTTGCATCTTCCAGCTGAGCAGAGGAGGAGGCATTTCTGTTTGCACTGCTCTTCTGCTCTAAGGCAGCAGATTTTTTTGTTTTTACAGAAAAGTCTATTTAGAAGTTTCTCAGGGTTTCCCATATCAAATAGCTAACCGTCATGAAACAGGAAGAAAGACTTAAAAAGTAGATAAAATGGGTACACTGAAAACTATTTAACATACTGTGTAAAATAATTCTAAAATAGACTGTGGAAATAGAGGAAACATCTCTTCTGCTACCAAAATTCTGCAGAGAAGCAACATGGAATATAGCATACAATGTTTCTGTCAGAGTTTCACATTCCAGACTGCCAAAACAATTCAATGTATGTGGAGCATGGGCATGCCTAGGTGTATCTAAAAAGCACGAGATAATACACAACATAGTATGAAAAAACTAATTAGCTGGCTTTAAAAATATGATTGAAACCTGAACCTTGCTGTATTTAACAGCCTGCCTTTCACGTTTCCCCAGACAGCTCTTCTGAAAGGTTGACCAATTTGTTTCAATACAGTGGCCACTCAACAGCACCAAAAAAGACAGTGTATATCCAAGGAACTGTATGAAAATTCTTCTTCCAAATGTACAATGTGCAGCCTAAAGAACAAAAGCTGTTAATTCATCACAGAAGCAGAGTCTCCTACAGTAACTAATTCAAACTGCTGATGATGCACTAAATCAGAGTGAATGATGAACACATACATAGGAGTAAGTGAAGTTCAAAAGGATACAGATCTATGTGATCAATGAGCTGCCACATGGCAAATGAAATGCAATGTTGACAAATGTACAGTAATATAGAAGAGGCTTCAAAATAATCAGACTAAATGTAAGAAAAACGTAATGTAACTAGAAAAGAAGAGTCTTAGAGTTGGAGATGCCTCTTTAAGCATATCTAAGTGCTGAACCTTCAAATCACCAGGCTATGTCCATGTTTAATGCAAAAAAAGCAACACTGATAACTCAGAGGTTCCTTGTCATAAAGCAATAAAGTTTTGCACTAAATGTAATAAAGTGACACTAGTTATGACACCAGTCATAATCCAGTTCAAGCACACAGATTAGGAACAACAGGCTACAGATGAAAAACTCACTCAAAACTAAAATTATATTGCTTATTACTCCCTTCAGTGATAACTGAAGGGTAAGACCAAATTACAGCTTTTGCTTCCACTAGCCTATGCAATTCAGAAACATAGTTAGAGCAAGCAGTACTGGCCAAGTCTCTCCAAAACCTAATAGCAACCCTAACTGATATATTTTTTTTCTCCATTTTAACACAATTGATCATTTTCTTTGATGTGGAAATGTCATTTTTTTCTTTCACCCCCAAGTTATCTTAATTTGTTTGAAAAGCAGAAATAAGAGGAAATGCTCAAAGTAAGAAACAAAACTCTCCACTGTAACTTTATGGCAGTTACCCCTGCATTGATTTAACCTTTGTTCTAAATTTATTTCAGGATAAAATTCACACTGTATTTCTCAGGCATCTGTAAAAGGCAAGAGCAAAAGAAGTTTTGAGTTGTATGTATTAAAGCATTCTCCTTCAGAAATCTTGAGTGAAATGTCTTTTGGGAAAGAAGTGCTGCTGAGTTTCTGCATAAACGATCTGTGCAAGAAAATGTTTCTGCTTATAAGATGGAGTTTGCTGGACTAGTGACAGAAGTCTCACTTCCTTGCATGAGATTTCATGCAAGGTATTTCATGCAAAGTATTTCATGCAAAGTATTTCAGCCTTGACTTACACAAAATTCTGTGGAGAAAAACTTAAGTTTAAGATATTTCACGTGGAAGAGTAGAAGAGAAGTATCTAACTGATCTGACCTGATGTTATACCTAGCAGAAAGAGCCAATGGGATCCCATGAATAAGCTCTCCTTCAAAACCTGACTGTCCCATTAGCTCTCAAAAAAGCCATACTTCCATCAGGATTCCTTTCATTGCTTGTTACCCTGAACATATCTTTCTAGATAACTACTGTATTTCTTAAACTTTTGTTTTATATTTTATCTTCCAATTCATTTTGATTAGAGGTAGAATTATTGTGTTAAAATATGACCTGATCTCAGATGTAGTTTATTTAAATTTCAAAATGAAAAGCTTACTAAGAACAGATAAGATTGATTGCTCTTTCTATCTTAGCATAATTGTATTTCAGGTGAACATCAATTTACTTTAAAGGACACTTCTAAGTAGCAGGCTGCATCATACATAATTCATCAATCACAGCTGCCTGCAACATGATTTACTCAAGCAGATTTCAATGGAATTGAGAGCCACATTGTTTCTTATACTTTGTCTTGTTTGTTTTTAAATAGTTTACGAAACATTCATTTGCCCTGAATTATTTCTGAAAAGGATTCAGCCTTGACAATCAGCATGCTGAATTTCTTTCTCTTCATACAGAATGTTACCCCTACAAATTTCTTTTAAAAGGCAAAATGAATTTTCAAAACATCATTAAGCCACAGAGCACTCCATGCTCATCAAAGGTAAAAAATAAATCTCAAGCATTTTAATAAGAGGCAAAAGGAAGGTAAAAATATTTACCTGAGCAACCTTACTAGTTTTAGAGCTTGATTTTCTAGTTTGATTGACATTCATTATTATTTTTGTATCTGCATGTAAATGTAAACGAAAAGAAGCAAATCTTTCTACAGGTTGAACTTTATAACAGGTAGCACCTGGTTGAAAATGGCTTCTACACTGCAAAGTGCCCAAAATGGAAATAAAACAGTTAAAGTGCAATCACTTGATGCACTGAAAAGTGTAGGTGGATCTTTCAGTCATGGAGACAATGTTCTGTATTTGACACTACTCAACAATTTCTATCAAACTGGGCTTCAGAGACATGCTGATGTCTCAGATGATCCAAAAGTCAATAAACATTTCCACAAATACATGGAAACATTTTTTTTAAGAGAGAACAAAAGAAAGAGATTACTAGAACTATACACTTACAGAAACATAGAAATGTCCTTACTTACTTGCAAGCCCATTTGAAAAACGGAGTGACCCATAAAATTAGCCAACATTCTAATTAAAGCTGCACCCTGTGGGAGGGGAAAAAAAAAAGTTGTTTTGCACATAAATATTATACAGCAATAACAAACTTCAGTACGAAATTACATCCAACATTATAATCTTAGAAACTTATATTTTCTTTAAAAATGAATTTTAGATAAGCAAAAAAAGTCATCAACACATGAGTGGTTAATATAATCTTTAGCTGTGTTGGAATAAAAAGAGACAGAGAAGATAATGCAAGTGCTCATAAGAAAAAGCGATCCCTAAGTAGACTGTTACTGCTAATATCCTGTACCATACACAAAATAAGGTGCAAGTCATAAAACATAGTCTCCACTGTTTAGGCACAGATGTGTCAGCTTCACAGTAAGTTGCCTCTGGCCATTATATGGACTCAGTTTAAATGAGGGCAAAAAAAAGTCCATGCTAAGTAAGGCTATAAATTCTACCACAGTGATTATTCATAATTTTAATTTTAATTATACTACTGTAACACAGGATTTAGTAATACTATATTCCTTTGCAAAAGCCCTCAAGATGTGATGATCTTGAAGTGGCTCGTTTTCATAAGGATTTTATAAGATGTGAATATCAATATTCAACTTATTAACAGCCATCTTGTCTTTCACACTGTCATGCAAGGCGGAAAGTACTTTTATAATACACTTTCCCTGCTTATATTGGTTCTTCTTCCTTGTCCCTTCAGGCAAAACAGAAAGATTTTAAAATTTCTTTTGTTTCACAGGTGATCTTCATTCACAGTACTTACACTAGGAAACAGATACATACTTGCCAGACTAGCTTTCTCTAAGATGCTCCTTGTATGTTTTTTTCACTCCCTCTCAGTAGCACCACAATTGCTGCATATTTTCTCCTTGCACAGCTGCTTTATTTTAAGCAGACATATCTTTACAGATCTGATTTGATCATTTGGCTATAATATCACACTTTGCAGTTCAATTCAGGAAAACTAGCTTTCCAATCCCATTACTCAAATATAAAGCTTAGTACTACTTAGTACTGATCATTGTACTAGAGAAAGGAGACTTTTGATTTAAAGACAATCAATCAAAGGACATAAGAAACCAGGATATTAGATTTCAACTCAACAGGAATATAGAGGGAGGTTCAGGAATTAGGATAATGGTCAGTTAGGAAAAAAATACATAGATTCAAAAATTCACAGACTCTAAAGCCAAAAGAACTATTACAATAATGTAATATGACTTCCTGCATTAATAGAGGTCAAGCAGTAATTTAGGCAAAATCTCTTTTGTTCCTCTTTATGCAAGAGCACTTGTTTTAGAAAGACTCAAGAAAAGGAAAATGTTCCACAATCTTACATAATTTGTCACAACTTATATTTATTTTCACAGTTAAAATGTAAAACTTTTTACTAATTTGAGTTTCTCTAGCTTCAAAACAAGATCTCATTGTGTCTCTTTCCTGCTAGATTAAAGTTCAAATTAGTTTTGGGATTCAACAGTTCTCCAATTTTTAGTCTGTTTAACACATGTTCCACTGATATTTTATATTGCCTGTTTTCAAACATTTGAATAATGAAATAATCAAAAAGATTGATTAATATAATATTGGTAAATCATAATAAAACATGACAAGCTCTTCACATAGTTGGAACAACAAGCAATATACAGTTAGACAAATAACTGAAGCAAAAAACAAAATGGAATGAATTCAGGAGATGTTTGTAATTGCTTGTAAGAATTGATCAGTAGATAAACCAAAAGATGGTGTTTGCATTATTAACAGTATGCTATGTTTTTATGGTGTAATCCTCCTAGAGACTAATCATGGCTGGAATACACACAGAATCTTAGAAAATAATCCCTACTCCAAACAGGTTATTATCTGAACAGACAAGAACATAGGTCAGGAAGCATTATTGCCCTCATTTTAGCACAGGAACAGAATGACTAAAGTCCTTAGAGATGTTTAAGCATATAAATAGGATATACATAGCTACAAATACTTCAGGATCTAGTAAGTAACTAGGCCAACCCCAAACCAAACAAAACAGTCAAAATGGGAACTACATATGGAAGGCACCAGTACAAACCCCTGCCAAGAAAGCCAGGTTTCCACTCCTTGCACATACTTTTACCTACTAAATTGTTAGCATTCTAGGGTCTTCCTTTTTACACAGAATCTATATTTCATATAGTAACTACTGATACATATTTTTATATATTATATATATAGTTTACTGATTTCTGATATTACCTACAAAGTCTTTTTCTATCCAGAGACCAGAAGAAAAAGTTAGACATACATAAAATAATTTTAAAATTGCTCTCATAGCTAACACTTAGACACATCCTGAATGGAACTCTAGCTGGCCTTTTTTCAGCAAAGAAAATTTAAAAGCAAATAAAGACTGAATAAGAAACCTAACGCACAAAGGAAGACCTACCCTCTCAGGATCTATCCCTTTTCCAAGCTACTTTGAAAATACTTTCTACCAATTAATTACATTCAGGAAACAAATAATATTAACAGCTTCCAGATCAAGATGCTTGTGCCTGTTCTGTTGTTCTCCCCACACAGTTTACCTATCTGGATGCCTCAGCTGCTGGGGAGCAATTTAAGAAATGAGGAGAAAGGGGAAAAACAGAAAACGAGAGAACTCTGAGGGGAGTTCTGGGAAAGAAACTGGGAAGCAAATGCAGCCTTTGGTGTGGAGAGAAAAGAAAGGATATATAGTAAGAGGGGACGAAAGGGGAGAAGACCACTTGTTTCACTTTTCTTGTACTTTGATAGCAGACAGAACAGATAACAGTGACTGTTAGGAAGCACAGGGGCAATCAACATAGTCCCAGATTTCAGAAGGAAAGGAAAGGCAGGAAACTGGAACTGTGATTAGAGACGAAGAGGAATAGGCTTGCAGGGAGAAGGATTAGAAAACAAAAATAGTATAAAGCAACTGTCATAAGGAAGAGAGACTTAATAAATAGAGCATCTTAGAGGATGACCCTAACTAGAAGGCCCTAAGAGGAAAGGAAGGCATTTGGTGTAAACTCAATTACAGGAGCAGTGAAATACATAGCTTTGTGGTTATCTGAATGGCCAAATAGGCTCACATTTTCATTGCATCTAGGAAGCTGTGAACTAGATGGAGTTCACATGACCTACACTTCCATACCCTCTGAAAACTTCTCTGACCTAGACCTAAATCTACACAATAAACCATAAATTACAATGAAAATCACAAATTTGTCCTACTGCAGAGGAGACCCTTCGAAAATTGCCAGCATCATTCCCTGGAGGCCCTGACACACAATTTATCTGCTCCCCTACTTCACACTCAAGGCCACTTCTGCTCTATCAAGATTTGTCCAACTGAGGAATAACATTTGGGGTCTTGAGAAGTGAACCTAGCTCTCTAGCAGGGCAAAATGGTCACTTATTGATGATTTAAATGCTTTCCTCCAGGCAGTGGATGACCCTGTCAAGATGAAAAGTACATTGGCTTAACATGTCTAGTGGAAAGCAATCCTTTCCTATTCAAAAAACAAACAAACAAACTAAAAACTATATTCTTGACAGTATTAAAATCTGACTCAGATTAAATCAGAGGAAAGGTACAATCCCATTTTAACAAAAGTCTATTCAGAAAAATATACCGTATATTCAGTCAATGATTAATAGCACTATCTGTATACACTGAAGTATTTTTCATTAGTCAATACCCAAGTGGGCTGATACCAATAAGAGGTTGATATCAATATCCTTCGTATTACCTAAGGGGAAATCGAGGCATACCATAGTGAAATGATTTGGAGATGACCACCTAGTATGCTCATCTAATAGGTTGTGACACATTCCAGACTTCCTCAGCCTCACCACTGTGACTGTACTGCTACATGGAAGAAAACTAGAACATAAACCAAGAGTCTGTTACTTACCCCATAGAAAATAACTACCTACACATTGCTTTTCTGCAAAGCGCTCATAGAGAAAAAAAAAAAAGCATGTCATAAGCCAACAGTGGCTGAAGTGTAGCAAATTTACTGTCTTTCTTGCCCTGAAGAAATTTACTTGCTATCCACACATGGTAAAGAACATCCATGAGTAAAATTAAGAGCAAATTTCCTTTATGTGTGTGATACCTTTTCTTTGAAAGCAAGGAAAGTAGTCACACTCAACTCTGTTTAATTCTTTCCTGGCAACATGATTATTACCTGGATCCTAGAATAAGTGAAAATGATTTTTAAAGATTCACTCCTATGTTTTATGATCCAAGATAATTTAATTCTCTTGACTTATTAAATGACCCATTTTTGCTATATTTGAATTTTTAAACTTATGAGTCTTGGAACTGTATCCTGTAATCATTTCTGATGCAAAATAACATATCAAACGGAATTGACTTTAACAATAGAAAAGTTGGTCTCACACATGAACTACAAAATTGTGACTATTGCATAGTACACAGTACTGGTAGACAGTCACACACAGGGTGGGATACATCTGACTAAACGTAGATACCTACAGCCTCTGTGTCTTCAATTGATTTAGTTGTCTAGACTCACTTTACACTCAATGGACAGAAGCAGTCACTTTGGGTGCACTTTGTCTCATCTTAAAGCAACATCAAAACAGATTAGATAAATTGCACCCTAAAAGCACCTATTTCTTTTAATTCACTAGAAAAGGAGCCTAGGAAGACTAACTCATACAGAAGCATCTGCACGGAAGACTTCTAAAGTTAGGTGAGATTTATTCAACTGCATGGTCCAAAAACACACATTGATTCTCCACTCTGTTCCGAGGGTTCAGTTCTACTAGGCAGCTCCCAAGAATTTCTGTAGTGTTACAAAATAAAACTGATGTGACACCATCCCTTTATATATATACAGGTATATAACATAAATCATATCTCAGTCTACCCTGCAAGCATACTGTCATAATTTCATGTAGGAAAACAACAAAAAAACAAAGGTAGGTTTTCAAGAGAGACATCTGAAGAGAGCAGTGGGCTTGTTAGCTAAAGGAGGATATTCTGTAT